AATATTTTCATCAGTAATAGCTGGTAAAGTTGCAGAGTCTTGGAAAATTGAATGGTTTGTTGTGTACAGGGACATGTGTGGCTTGAAGAAGCCCTTTTGCTTTTAGGAGGAAGAATGAGAACTTGTTGATCAGTTAGCCAAGTAAACCCCAGCACTTCTTGTGTTTTGTTTAAAGATTTATTTTTATTTATTTATGTATACAAAAGGTGGGGTATAGACCAGAGATGTGGGTGTTAGGGGCGGTGGTGAGAAGATTCACCAGAGACAGAGTGGGGAACAAAACTGGCAGACATACTGAAATCCACTGCTGAGGGGAGCAGTGGGTGAGACAGGAGAAGTCTGCTGTGCCATGTGGGTCAGCTCCCTGGTTGGGGATTGTACTAAGGTGCAGTAGCGGGTGATAGTTTGATAGTGCTGAGATTTTAACCCCTGCACCACCAGGGTAGTCCCAGAAAAGAGCAAAGTCCCAGCACTTTGCTTAAAACCATACCTGGTCTGTAAATTGATGGTTGTCTGTGAAATTTACTGGGTTTAATATAATTCTGTAAAGATCAACATTTTGTGAAGATTGAGTAACAAGATTATTTTGAATAATTACTTTGAATATTGTCATATATTAAAGTGCATATTAGAAAAATTTCCTGTTTTATAAAATCATTTTTACACATAACAATATAAACTAATATTTTAACTTATTAAGAATTGATTTGAAGACTGCTACTGGAGGACATAGATTAATTTGAATATGATATTAGAAAAGGTGAGGAAAAATGGAACTTAAGAATAACTGTGAAACTTCCTTATTGTGTTGACATTGTGGGCTTTGATAGTATCATTTTGCTACTGTTTTTGTGTCACTTGGAGAGTCACTATGGTTGGTGTGTAAAGGACAGCATGTAGTGCTGCTGACAGTTTGGACTCTGGTTAGGAAAATGATTCCTTGAACTGGAAACTATTAGGAGTAGAGGATATAGCCAACAAAAGTATCCCATTTTAAGATACAGTTTATTAAAAACATGGATCTGGGCTCTCCCAGGTGGTGCAGTGGGTTAGGGTGCAGTACTGCAAGCTGGCCACAGCCGCTTTAGTGCGAGTTCGATCCCTGGCCCCAGGACCACATGGTGCCGCAGACCTCTCCTGACCTGCCTGCTGCTCCCCTCAGCAGTGTACTGCGTCGATCTGCCTGTTTTGCTCCCCACTCTGTCTCTGGTGAAGCCTCTTACCGCTCCTGCACCTCTGGCCTGTACGCCAACTCTGTATGAATAAATAAACCTTTAAAAAACAAAAAAATATGGGATAAGTAAGGGATTAGGAGAACTGTCAAATCAAGTTAGCAGTATAAAACTGTTGTTGAAGATAACTTAATGTGGTTCAAGTATCTTTGGGGAGAATGAAAAGAATAGAAAATGACATAAAAGAAAAACCGCCCAGCATTGACCACTAAATTGTGGCAAAGAAAGTGTGGTGGTAGAGGGCACAGGTGCTGGGAAGTGGGAGGTGTTGCTTGATTGTTGCATGAGTCTTTGAAATTCAAATCAAAACATTTTAACATTATTTCATTTTTTAAAACTTAGGTGTGGGCACAGCATCCCTGTTTCAGGATTTTTGAACCTAAACACCAGGAATCAAATTCAGAACTGGTCGTTCCCTTTTTCCCCTATCAATTCATAGACAAGATTTGCCTTTCATTTGATTTTTATTTTATTTATATATGCACACAAGAGCTGGGGTACAGGCCAGAGGTGTGGGGGCAGGGATGAGAAGCTTCACCAGAGAGAGTGGGAAACAGAGCAAGCAGATCTACTAAAATCCACTGCTGAGGGGAGCAGCAGGCAAAGCAGGAGAGGTCTGCTGCACCATGTGAGTCAGCCCCTGGGCCAGGATGGAGCTCAGACCATAATAGCTTGCTAGTGCTGAGACTAACTAACCCCTGTGCCACCAGGGAGGCCTCTTGAGTTTGTTTCTAAGCAATTAACATTTACTTTGCCATTTTTAGTTTAACACTAATTATTTTGTAATAGTCTATGAGTTTAGCTATAACTGTGTAATAAAATACGCAATACACAGTGGCTGAAAACAATAAAAATTTACTATTTTATGAATTTGTTTTGAGTCAGTAATTGGTTCCAACTTAAAGTCTCAGTCTTAACTGAGGGAGGCTCATGTCCAGGCTCATCCACATGGTTGTCATGATGTCTGGATGCCCCAGACATCAGTTTCTTGCCAAGGGGCCTCTTGCCTTCCTGGGGAGCTGCTCAAAAGCAGGATATCTGAGGAAGAGCCCACAAAACAGAAACCTTAGTTTTATTATTTGGAGAATGACAACCTCATGCCAAATTTTGTTCCTCAGCAGTGAGTCACTAAAACCAGCCCACGTTTGGGGGAGGTGGTTCTAGAAGGGTGTGTGTTCCCTGAGGTAGGGTCTAGGTGAAGCAGAATGCTTCCTGAAAGGGAAGTGTGTGGGAGAGACGCTAAGTCTTGATGGGAGCAGTTCAGAGTGGGGCTTGTAGGGAGTTAGTGCTTACGTGCTGGTGCCCTTCCCCGTAATCTTTTCCAAATAGTTTCAGTATTCCTATATTTACTATCAAGTGTCAGCCTGGAGATTCTGTTTTTGTCGTGTCTTCATCTTAGAATTTAAGATTTGCGATACTAACATTCTAGCTATGAAACTCAGTTATGACAGTGACTTAAACTAGTTTTATATTTTGTGTATGTTGGGCAATGGGCACCAATATGCGTCTGATAACTTTTAAGTCTGAGTAGCTTCCTTGACTAAAGTAAATCTAGTAGCTGATTTAAAATATTAGCAGATGATATCTGTATTTGTGTGATGATAGTGACCTTCTTAATGTTGTCTGGAATGTTTTATTAACTATTTTACAGACAATCTTTAGCATATAAGGTGTATTTGCAGTTCAATTTTAGTATTTTTTTTAGTACAACCGGAAACTTTTTTTTATGCTGCAGATATTCCTATTATTCTTTATCTTACATATAGTGTAGTTTAAAAATAATAGTACCGATACTAATACAAGCAGTAAATCTGAGTGAAATTGAGATTATCATTCTACTTTTTTTAGTTCTTAGACTACATCCCTCTAGAGATGTATAATCTCATTTGAGAATAATTCCATTTCAGGTGGTTCAGTTTGATGGAGGCTTGGATTCTGGGTGTTGGTTCTTAAATGCTTTACTGCCATCTTGATTTCAGGCTAATTTACACTTACAGGAAAACAGAACTTTTTAAAAAAAGATTTATTTATGCATACAAGAATTGGGGTACTGGTGGTGAGAGGATTCACCAGAGACAGAGTGGAGAACAGAACAGGTGAATCCCAGGAGAGATCTGCAGTGCCCTATGTGGGTCAAGTCCCCAACTAGGGATCAAACTCATGGCACAGTGGCTGTTGATAGGTTGAGATTTTTAACCTTTCTGTCACCAGGGAGGTCCCTGTTTTTGTTTGTTTCTCTATGGGTTGATGTAGGGGGAATGAGTAGATACTTAATTAGTGCAAGGGAAATTTTGAGTAGGAAATGTGATGGTGTTATAAATGGGGACCCTGCGGGTAGAGGGTCATATTTTAAGAATGTAAAGGGAGATAGTAAGTATAATAGACTCATAAATTTTGCCAAATATATGAAAGATGAGCTTCCAGTCTTCTGTTTCTGCTGTGACCTAGAATTTTCCGCTTTGCATAAGGAGAGGAAGACATCCAGGCTGAGAATAATTAGATAAAGTGAGACTCTATACTCTTATGTGGCCTATGCGGTAAAGTGTGCAAGGAGAAAAAAGGAGGACAGTTTCTGTAACACTACTTAATTACAAAGTATGTAATTTACTTGCTTTATTTTGGAATAATGACACTGTTTTTGAATCTCTATATAATACTAACTTTTATTACAGTGTTACAGGATTCTAAAGTACAGAACATTGTGAATTTTGTAACATGTACTTCATGTTTAGGATTTACTCCAAACCTTCCACAGCCATAATAGCAGACATCCATTTTTTTTCAGCAGTTTTTCCATACATTTAGATTGACTTCTATGGAGAAGATTTTCTATAGTGAAGTATTTGATTTGGTTCTTGATTTCTAAAGAACATCTATTTGTGCATGAACACTGATTGTAATTATTAAAGCTTACCCAGGATATGCCTGGGTAAGCAGCCTAAATTGGGGGATTTCTTTTCCTGAAGAGTTTGTTATAAAACCCATCTTACTTGGAGTAGTATAACAGCGGCAGACATGCTTTTAGGGTTGGTTTGTAAGTCACCCTTTGGTTTCTTTAAAATAGTTACAAAATCTTTAAATTTTCTCAAGCCTTTAGAAATGCATTTGGTTATATTTTAAGTCCATAAGACTCCAGTCTAAGTGCAGACTGCATTTGAAATAAATAAAAATAGGAAATTATTACTTAATTGTTGATATCTTTTACATTATTTTATTGCATATGGATAAAATATTTGGATGAATACTCCTGTATCTTTTATCAATATAATAGTATATGGCCTTTGGTGCCATGTACTTGCTTGCTGCAAGATGAATAGAAAGAAATTATCTAGGATCCTTGTTCATTAGATTTGTAGATAACAGATGACTTTGGCATTTATGTATACCGTAGGCAGGGAGGTCTGTGCCCCTATTTGCTTGCATGGGTCGTTGAAAACCCTATGCCTTAACTAACTGTATCGTAAAACTTAGCTTTGTAGAAAAATAGGTATGACTTAACCAATTTGTATCTTATAATTAGTAGAATCTAGCAGAAGTCTTGTGTGCTGTCAACCTTTTGTAAATACAAGGACTGATATTAAAACAAGATTGAAATGTAGGATTTTCATTAGAATTATGTTTTCAATTTTTTGAATAATTTTGTTCATTTTTATTCTATTGAATCTTGAAACAAAGGAAGAACTATACATTTTCTTTAATTTGTTTCTGTAAGATGAAGACCCATGGAAATACGTGTTTTTTGAAGGCAGGGTGTGATTATTTAGTAGCATGACAGTAAAAGGGTATGATACATCAGTATCTTCATTAGAAACTAGCATTTGATGTTAATGCTGAGATAGCACATTAACACAAACACTTCTTTGATGAGATTGTACTGAGTTAAAGGTAATATTTTGTTTTCAAAGGAGCTTGAAGATAAAGTCCTTCTGAGGAGATCTTTTTTCTTTTGTTAGAAATCCTTAATGACTTTACTTTTAGACAATTATTTTTAAAGTATAGCCACTGAACTATTAGTGTGCTGCTTTTACAACTATTTAACTTAAAACAACATTACTTCTTATTAATGGTCTTGCATACTTTTATATGTGTGTGTGCCTAGTTTGTTACAGAGATTTATTGAGACATATATGGGAATTGCATTGGTGGTTTTTATCTTTAAGTCTTTTCGAGTGATAGTCTATTGCAGTGGCCTTTCCACTAAAATTCAATAACAATGGCTAGTTAATTAGTGACAGGTTTTGGGCTTCCTGGGTGGACAAGAGTTTAAAGTCTCAGCACTAGAAAACCATAGGCAGCTACTGCAGCATGAGTTCAATCCCCGGCCAGGGAGCTGACCTACATAGGGTGCAGCAGACATCTCCTGTATCGCCAACTGCTCCCCTCAGCAGTGGATTTTAGTAGATCAACCTGTTCTGCCCCACTCTGTCTCTGGTGAATCCTGTCACACAAACACACATCTGCAACTCTCGCTTACACTCCATCTCTTCTATGCATTAATAAATAAAATAAATCTTTAAAAAAGAAATGGCATATTTTATTATCTAATTATCCTATTACTAATATTAAAAGGTGATGGGGTTGTTTCAGTGAATTGGAATAGTTTGAGAGCTGTTTTAACTTTTTCTGTATATTAAAATATAGCTGCCATTATAGTAGAACTTTAAAAATGTAATCAAATAGTTTTCCTTCCCTTGTATTTCTGAATGATGTGAGAAGTTTCTGTTGACCGTGTGGTTTGCAGATTGTTTCTGTATTTATTTCAGTGCATGCATATATGTATGTGTATATATATGTGTATATATAGATATATACCTATATCTATATATGTATATATAAAATGTGTGTGTATACACACACCCACATAAAATCTTGGTGAAATTGCAACCCATTCCCCTGTGTAATTCCACATGTACCATAATCTCAAATAAAATTAAATAATCTTCTTACTCTGATAGAGAAGAAAAAACTGGATCACTTACCAGTAACTGGAGTTCTCCTATTGGGTAATCTCCACAGATCCACATTCTTTGAAGTTATTGTGAATGCCTCGAGGACCAAGGATCCGTTGAAATGTCCAATTTCAGGAAGGTAAGCAAGTGCACTGAAGCATGTCTCTAGCATCTCCCAAATCCCCTCCCCCCGACTTTCTTACATATGCATCTGTACTGCATGCCCCTCAGTTCCAGTGGATGCCCATCGGGAAGACTCTTATGCTGGACAGAAGGGCGAGAGAGGTGGATCTGTGAGGGAAAAGACCCAATAGGATAACTCAAGTTACTGGTAAGTCATCTAGTTTTCACAGATTGAGATTTTGTTCTCTCAAATTTCTCCTCTTTAGGAGTTGTTTAATTACAAAGAAAGGGATTTGGTTGAGCTGCTTTTATCAGTTTGGTGTTATGTCATTATTACATGGATGGTAGATGCCTCATTCTTAACAGGTGGATGATTGAAATCATGTTGTCAGCGTTGAAGTGAGTCACTTGCATAACAGCTTTTTCTAGAAAATTTTATGTTCATTGATCTTTGGTAAATAGTGTAATATTGGGTTTTCAGAAAAGTCATGATGCATTTTTTCTGTTTTTCAAAGAAAAAATACATCAGTGGGCCTCCCTGGTGTTGCAGGGGTTAAATCTCAGCATTTTCAAGCTATTGCCAGCCACAGCAGGATGAGTTCCATTCCCACCCAAGGAACTGACCCACATGGCTCAGCAGCTCTCTCCTGCTGCTCCCCTCAGCAGTGGATTTCAGAAGATACACCTGTTCTGCTCTCTCTGACTCTGTTGAATCCTCTCATTCCCTGCACCATAGCTCTTGTATGCATAAATAAATAAAATAAAAAGAAAAAAAAATCATGGCTTTTCCTGCCGCCTAGAGTTCTAAGTAATTTCAGGGAGCTCTGTGTTGATGTGGTGAGTGGTATGGTGGGTGCAGTCTGAGTGCTCTGCTCCTTCAGGAACCAGGTGCTTTATTGAGCTGGCAGGTGAAATGTTAGAATTGGTCAGAGTTCATTGATTTGTATTTTCTCTCATTCATTCTCTGTTACCAGATAACCATTTCAAGAAAGATGTTTTTTGTTCACAAAGAGCCTTAGTGGTTACCTGTTGTAGCTGTTTTTATCAAACTTGCATCCATTTGCTGGGTACTTAAGAGCTCCAGTAATCCAGTCCCGTCCTGTTTATATAGCATTTGGAAGCTTTTGGTATCACCTGCATACTTGTTGTATTGATGCTTTGGCTTGTGTTGCTCCAGTTTCTTGAAATGACCTTTCAGTTCTGCTCTCCAGTACTATAAAGTGGCTCATAGAAAAGAGGTTATAGCTGTGAGAGTTCATAGCAGAGCTAGACTCTGAGACTGTTGTGCTATAAAACAAGTGGAAATAGTGTATTTGATTATCTTCAATGTTTATTGCTTCATTTTCAGAAATGCTCTGACTTAAGAATACTTGTTCAATGAAGCAGTAAGTGAAATCTGATTTCAAGGTCACTGAAGGAAGGAAATATTCATTGGCAGATTATCTTTCTTCTAATTACGTAATCACTGGAGAACCAGTTCATACCCAATTAGACAAGCTGAGATAAAAACTTTGTTCATCAGGTGATGTGGTGTGTGTTTTAACTTTGTTTCCAAGTAAGAGACCATTACATCTCAGTTTCTTTAATGTGATAATGGGGTGGTAGTTATTTTGAGATTGAACTCAGACTTCAGTACACATGCTGAAGTATTTAAATGTATATTTTTAAAGATTATTTATGCATACAGATTTATTTAAGTATGTAAGTATACAGAACTGGGGTACAGGCGGCCAGAAGTGCAGAAATGGTGAAAGGATTCACCAGAGGCAGAGCAGGAAGCAGAACAGGCAGATCCATAAAGTACACTGCTGAGGGGAGCAGCGCGCAGGTCAGGAGAGGTCTGCTGCACCATGTGCGTCACCTCCCTGGCCTGCGATGGAACCCGTATTGAAGTGGCTACCATGAGTTTCATGGTGCTGTGCTTTAACCCATTGTGCCACATGCTGAAATATTTAAAATTGAAGTTTGACGAGTTCAGAAAAAAGCATGTGGATATGTGGCTATGTGGCTATGATGTATGTACATATATAGAGGGAGGGGAAAAGGAGAGAGAAGGTAAATGTGACAAATGTTAATGATTTTGAGTCTAGGTGAGGGGAATATAATTTTATGCTGTATTTTCAGCTTTTCTGTGGCTTTGATGTTTTTCAAAGATGTTGAAGAGAATGTATTTTTAAAAAGACTTCATTGTGCTTCAGTGTCTTTAATTTTAAAGTGGAAATAATAGAGCTTGTTCTTTCTGTTCCTCAATGCCTATAGGCACAGTGGGGTGCATTTGGTAGAAAAGCAGTCACAAGTCCTTTAAAGAAATGGTACTTTTTTGATATTAAAGAAGAACTTTTATAAATGGAGAACTTTTCAAAGAACGTGCACCTAAAAGTGTCTTAGCTTAAAATGTATCTTTCCCCCTTTTTTAACTCACAGCATAATGATTATAATTAAACAGAGCAATCAAGAATCAATAAATATACACACACATTTAAGAACCAATTGAAATTCTTAAAATAAAAAATACAGCTATTTATAAAAGAGCTCAATAAATGGACTGAAAAAGAAAATTAGACATAGCTGAAGAGAAAAACATTAAATTCAAGATAAAACTGATCACTTTGTCAGAACAGGCGAAGGGAGACAGATTAAAAATTGAACAAAAAGCAAGACATCTAAGGGGGAAATTGAAAAGCTCCATTATGTGTCTAGCTAGAGTTTTAATGGAGAGAATCTAGAGAATGATGGAGAAGTAATATTGAAAAAAACATGACTGAGAATTTCCACAAATTAAAAAAGTGGAAATTATGAAATAATTAGAATTGAATCTCAACAAAAGCAGTGTATCAAAACCTGAACAAGATGAGAAAAGGGGTACTCAGGGATACATTTTTACAATCTTAAATGAATGTATTAGGTTGAAAGAAAACAAATGAGGAAGCTATTCAACTCAAAACAAAACAAAAAGCCTTAAAAAACAAACCCCAAAGAAGAAATAGAAATAAAAATGAAATTTTCTAAGAGGATCAACAATAAAAGCAGTAGCAATATTCATTTGAATCAAAGCTAATTCTTTCTGTTGTTAAACTTCTGGAAATAAGTCATCACAGAACAGATGATAGAAAAATAAAATTTAAAAATGGGGTGTAGTTATAAATATGATTATAAATTTAAAAATCACAAGAAATCAACATTTATATAATTTATGTAACTTAAAAACCAGGTGGAAAGTTCTGTTTCCTAGGGGGAAAAATTCTAAAATTGATGCTATGTAAGAAATAGGAAATACAAGGAAGCTGAAAGCTGTTTTATTGACTTATTTATGCATCTAAGAACTGGGGTGTAGGCCAGAGTTGAGAGGATTCATCAGAGACAGAGTGGGGAGTAGAACAGGTGGACCTACTGAAATCCACTGCTGAGGGGAGCAGAAGGTGAGACAGAAGAGGTCTGCTGCACCGTGTGGTCAGCTCCCTGGCCAGGGATCAAACTCAGGCCCCAGAGGCTGGTTGTAGCTTGATAGCGCTGTGAATTTAACCCCTGTGCCACCAGGGAGGCCTGGAAACTGATAACTTTTAATGAAATTTAAACAATGGTAAATTTCCCCCAAAGGCAAAGTTGTTTTCTTTTTTTAAAAATAGCAGCTTTGTTTAATGTGATCATAAACTAGACCATTTTTATTCACTGAAAATGTACAAGTTCAACTGTGTGTATTTTTGCTGAGTTGTCCAACCATTATCACATTCAGTTTTAGAATAATTCTTATCAACCCTGAAAAGGAACTGTGTACATACCTATTAGTAGTCAACCCTAATCCTCTCCAAGCCTTCCATCCTTAGGTAGCCACTAGTGAGCTCCCTGTTTCTATAGATTCTCCTGTTCTCCTGTTCTAGTGACTCCTTTCACTTTGCACAGTACTTTAAAGACTCCTGTGTTGTAGCATGTGTCACTAAACTTTATTCCTTTTTGTGGACAAATGGCATTTCAGTGTATGGATATATTACCACATTTTGTTTATCCATTCGTCAGTTGATAGAGATCTGGATTATATCTCAGATTTGCTCATTATGAGCAGTTCTGCTATTTGTTTACAGTTTTCAGTGAACATGTGTCTTCATTACTCTTGTGTATATATCCAGGAGTTGGATTTCTAGGTCTTATAATAATTCTGTGTTTACCGTCTTGAAGTGCCACCAGGTGGATTTTCTAAGTGGTTGCACCCTTTACTCTCCCATCAGCAGTGTTTAAGGGTTCCATTCCATACTTTCCATACCCTCATCTTTTTCATTGTGCCATTCTCATTGGTATAAAATGGTGATATTTGTAATCATAATTTCAAATATACTTTTGGAGAAGATAATCCCAATTTTGTACAAATTGACCCAGGGGAAAAAAAAAAGTGACTCTGCCTACTTATCAGACGAGTTTAGTTAGCATTGAAACCTAAACTAGAAAGCATATACAAAGGAAAATAGATTCTTTGTGAACATAGACATTAACATTTTAATTAGAGTAAGAAAGTGAGGATAGTCAATATTTGATGTGTTGATGTAATTTTTTTACATTTATATATATATTTTTTATATAATATGTTTATTTTTACATCATTTTGTACATTTTTTTTCCATCTCAATTGTAATCCCCTTGGGCTTCCCATCATCAAGTCACCCATGTGACATCACCATAGAGATATAATTTTTTTTATAGTGATGTAATTTTTAAGTTAAGATTTACAGAAAAAAAAATCTTGAGTTAATCAAAGGATATGATAAAACTACCCATTAATTATTTTTAAAAGTAGCCTTCAAATTTTTAAAAGAGATGAATGTTTTTCTTCTAGCAAAGGTTTGCCTTTCAAACAGCATTATACTTAATGGAAAAACTTGAGAAACAGTCCCACTAAAGTCAAGAATAAGACAATATATCTCCATTAATAAGATGAGGAAAAAAGTAAAATTACCAAAAGGATGGACAAGGAGATAATGAGATAAATATATCCCTAGAAAAGTTTTTTAAATCGGGGGACTGTAA